AAAAAAAAAAAAACATCCCTCGAAAGAATAGCAGCAGTTGGGTATGCCGAAAAATCCATTGCCAAACATCATTAAAAAAATACACCGTTCTAAAGTTCTAAAAAAAAAAGGCGTGTGAAGCGCATGCGAAACAGCGGGCTCGCGAACCTCTTCCTGCAAGCCGTCGACTACGACTCCCGTCTACGACAAACCCACCCCCCGCCCACCACATCACCCACCCCCCCCGAAACCCCATCAAACAAGGACCGAATCCATCGACGACTCCACGTCATTGCGCGGGAAAACAAACTTCTCGGCCACTAGGACAATGAAGAGCCGAAATACGAAAAGACGAATGTAGAGGACGAGTACTACATCAGCGATCCCGTCGCACTCCCGCTGCGCGATGGACTGGACCTTTACAACGTCGTCGAATACAAGAACAAACACCTGAAAAGAATCTGACCACGACGGCACGACTTCAATGGGACGAACAGGTAGGCGGCTGGGTGGATCAAACGTGTTTCATCCGCTGCGCCAGTGCATTGCGGAGCGCATGAGCCTCGCGCGTCGAAGTCAACATGGACACCGGTTGCGGGGGGCGATGAATCCCCAGGTCCACTCGCCGCCTCACCCCGTTCGCGTCTACCTCCCACAACAAATTTTCGTCGAACTCGATTCCTGCATCGAGCAGGATGTTGTGGAGAATGCATACCGCCGTGAACTGCTGCGGCAGACTCTCGAGGTTCGTCTTGTGCATCCGCAGGAAGAGCCTCCACATCCCTTTCAACCTCCCGAACGCCCTCTCCATGGCCCCTCTTGCGACCTTCTGTTTCGTGTCGAACCTTTCCTCGTCCGGGTGCTGATTGATTCCTCCGTACGGCACCACCACCCACTCAGAAGGAGGATACCCGTTGTCGCCCAAGATGTATCCGTTCGTCGTCACCCCTCCCGGCAGCGTCACACGCGGCCCACGAAACAGCAATCCCTCTTCCGCGCGCCTCGACAGACTTGACAGCTGGATCACCCTAATGTCGTGGCAGCTACCCGGATATCCCACGAACACATCAAGGACGCGCAGATCCAGGTCAACCACAACCTGCGCAATGACGGAAAAACGGTGCTTGCGGTCGAAGTAGTTCTCGCTAGGCGCGTTCGCCGGTTTGTCCACATAGATGTGTGTGCAGTCAACTGCGCCATGGCAATTTGGAAAGCCCTTGTCCAGAAAAGCCCGTAGGACGACTTGTTTCCGCACCCCCGTCGGCCACGATATCTTCTCCCCGTACACCCTCAAAATGGCGGCTGTCACATCGCGCACGGCTCGAACTCCAGAAGTCCTGCCCATGCCGAAGGATGATGTGTTGTTATCGTAAGACTCTCCTGTGGCCCACCTATACAACGCGTATGCGACGATCTGCTCCGGCTGCAGTGGCTCCCTGTAAAACGTCACCTGCCGCTGCACATGAGGCGCACATGCTTCGCTGATCTCCATGAACATTCTCCTCGACATGCGGAGCTTTTCCCGGAAGTAGTCCTGTGTCGCGTCATCGCAAACCCGTAAATCCTCCCAAGTCCCGCCAGCTCTCCGCCGCATCCACCAACGTGGCGTCGCCCGAGGAAGCAAACCGCTCCCGATAGCAGCACACAGTTGAACCACGGCTTGGGATGTGGTGATGCAGTCCGGGGCGTCCAACACCCTTTGCAGCAGTAGCCTCTGCCGCCGCCTCGAAAGCACTGCCTTCATCCCCCCGGCCGCACTCTCGATTTGAAAACGACGGACAACAGCAACCGCAGCCGCCGTGACTGCTGTCTTCTCCGTCGTCGACAGCACAGCAGGTCCATCGCCATCGCAGCCGTCCATCACGTCCCTCGTAGACAAAAAAAGACGTCCACCGCCGCCCACCTCCGTGCACGTATGCCGCCACGTGTTGAAGATGCCTGCAACCACATCAGGAAGACAGCCCGACCGAACGACGCGATTCCGATCGGAGCGTCCACCCACCGCCGCGGCGCTTGCACGCGGCGAACACGACTGACATCTTCGTTTCGTCGCGTCGACCACACTTGATGCACTGGCGGTGCGTCACCGCTGAAATACGCAACCCGATGGCAAACGAAACCCTGCGTGGCGTAGGCAGGCACGCACACCGACCCGCCTGTGCGCAACCACCACGTCGCTCCGCAACATCAAAATTCAAAATTCGAATTTCGAAAGGGGATTTTCCCGCGTTGGCGTTTTATTTTCCAAGGGCCCGTGACGTCTTCTCGCTGTCCGCGTTTTGGACCACCACAACTGCTACACGGACATCCCGAATCGGAGGCCGGACATTCCTCTCGCGGTTGTGTATAATCTAATTAAACTGGCCGCGGGAGGGCCCCGAGGATACGTCCTCGGGGCATTTCTCCGAGGACAGGTGGAAGGACACCTCCGAAAATCAAAAATTGCTCCGAGGATTCGTCCTCGGAGCCCGAGGACGCGCTGAGGTGTGTCGAACGACGCCCATTGTCTTCTATTTTCTTTCTAAGTCTATTCTCCCTCCTCTCTCTTTCGTTTGTGTATGTTTTTCCGATCTCCTTTTATCTGGACACGATTATGTTTATTGATAATCATCAGCAGGTTGATATTCATCCGATTCTGGGCTTGCATTGTTGACAAGTGTCTTCACTATCTAGGTTCATTGCAAAGAGGATAGTTAATTTTTCTTGTCATCAAGTACTGGGTCAAAACCTGCAGTGCCCAGGCCCTGTAGAGGTTCGGTGGGGAAGGGTACCACAACTTTCCTTTTTTCTTTTTTAAACGGGGGATGGCCTTGAGATTATCATCATTGAGCTGACCGAATCAGCGGCCTAGCTCAGTTGGTAAGGCCCGCAAGTGGCATTCAGGAGGTCATGGGTTCAATCCCCACTGGCCTCATGCACCTTACTGGGCAAGCTTGGCGCCCGCCACCTAGAGATATGTCGTTGGTCCCCCCGAGTGGCATTGAGCAGAGATTGCTGATGTTCATAGGGGGAGGGGACCGGAGGGGAGGCACGATGACTGGCCCGTCGAAGAAGATCGGTCCCTGATGCTACCGGCTGACCCCTGGCCGGTATCGCTCACTTGCTGTAGCAGGTTGTAGCAGGTATCACACCTGCTGGTGGGTGCAGCTCCCTCATGCTGTCTCGTTGGAGGCTTGAGCATGGATGTGGCTGCTACGGGGTTCCTGTTCCCCGTAATACTACAATGACAATGAAAAAGGCTTGAAAGGCAGTCTTGTCCAGATTTGGCAGGTAATTGAATTGGTTGCGCTTAAAGAATTAGCCTTTTAAAAAGAAAATAAAAATAAAAATCATTGAGCTGACCGGCCCCAGGTAGTTCATAATTATTTTGTTCTATGTATCTGATTGCTGCTGGGTTCGAACTTGGGTCTGTATTTCAACAGTTAAGTAGGGGTACCAACTGAGCTAGGCCCATTGTTACCACACCTGTTTTTCCTCACAATGACATTGAAAATTTCAGGCTCGGGAAAATGTGTTTTTTCTGTTTGGGTTAGTTAAAAAAAAAGAGAAAACAAGGGCGTGGTCATAGTTTAAGAATCTAAATGCATTTCAAACTGCAGTTTTTTTATGCCAGTCCCGTGGGGAGTTTACTATGCTGTCGAAACTCTGCTTGGCAGAAAAGTTGCACCGCGGAGTTTGGAACTGCAGTTCAGTCAGGCAGGTGGCCAGACCTCCCATTGATTGGCCAGGACCGAGATGTATCGGCCACACCCCAGATTGGCCAGGGACGAGATGACTCAGCCACGACCGAGATTTAAGGGGGGGGGGGAGAAAAAAAAAAAAAGAAAAAAAAAAAGGGTCACCTGCCTGACTGAACTGCAGTTCCAAACTCCGCTGTGCGACTTTTCTGCAAAGCGGAGTTTCGACTGCATAGTAAACTTCCGACAGGACTGGAATTAAAAAACGCAGTTTGAAATGCATTTAGAAACTGCTTTTGTGATTGCGCCCTAGTTACCCCCCCAAAAAAAGTAGAAGAAGATAGTGAGCCTATTGGAACAAAAAAGAAAGGAAAAAAAGACTGAGTGACCAATGGGCCTAGCTCATTTGGTACACATGAACAGTTGTGGGAATAGTGAGTCGAACGACAACGACGGCGGGAATAGTGGGTCACAGAAAAGGTGGGAAGAGTATTCTTGGAGCACAAGTCATCACGGCCCGACGGAAGATGACGGTGTGTTGCATGACACACACAGGTCTGTGTGCATGCGTAAGAAGAAAATGAAAGTTTGGAGAGCAGAGGAAGAGAAGAGGAGAAAAGCTAAGCTCATCAGCCTAGAGGCCTCAAAGGAGGCTTACAAAAAATCCTTAGAGGCCCAATCTGCTAAGCCGGCAAAGGAACAGCATGAACGCCCTCAATCTTCCTAGAGACCGAAGAAGAAAGCAAACGCAGAGGAGACAAAGGAAGTGACGGACTCTGGGGACAAAGCGTCAGGGGTTGACCCTCAACATATAGCATCAAAGCTGGAAAAGTTTACCAACACACTATCGATACCACAAAGTGTTTTTTCCTGGAATACGATACGGATGGCAATGCGATAGATCGACCTACCCAATTTTTTGTTGACGTCGTCAACATACTGCCCAACCCTTCGGAAGGCGTGCAGTACAAACACAGGCAGTTGAAAGAGATGTTGGTCACATCCATCAGGGACGCAATGAAACACTTGGAAAAGCATATGGAGTGGGATAGAAACACGTGGATTCTTGCTCTGGTCATACAAGTGGAGAAGGAAGGCTGAAAGCACGGGGAGGGTGTGAAACCAGAGGAGTGGGATGGCGACGAGGTTGGATCATACAATCGGTACACCGTGGTCAACCAACATACAGCGGAGGCAGCAAAGAGGTTGGTCATACGAAATCGCCTGCTACCCAGAAGTGGGGCATGCATTATTGGAAGGCGTGAGTTGTGCATTTTGAGGACAACCATTTGGAGGGTTATGCATACATCTCCATATTTTACAACATTAGGAAGACACGTGGTATCCAATCGTCGTTTCAAATGGTTGTGACTGCAATAAGGGCCTCGTTCCACTACTTGTCATCCGCCACAAACAGTGGCGAGACTTGGCGAGGCCGAAAAGTGCATGGTTTGGCGGAAAACGGCTCTTGGTTCCATTACATCGTCGCCTCCACGTGCGCTGTGGTCGCTATCCCGGCCTGCTCCTATGACTGCGGCGGATGGAGAGCTAATGGAACGGTGGCGGCTTTCTCTTCACCACGTATTTGGACTGGAATTAATCCAGGTGCGGCGAAAACTCGCGAACACTAGGGGACAACACAGGTAGACTGTTAGGACCGCTGTCTCAGGGGCAATGGCCCCACGAAGCATTTCGCGGAGGGGTGAGGAGTAGCACCTCCACTAAGGGCCGTTGCAGGCAGGGGAAATGGAAAGCCTTGGCGACACATCGCCAAGTGATTTCGGACCCAAATTATGACAGCGGCCATTTCGTGGCTATTGGCGATGCAGTGAAACCAAGTCGCATCCGCCATGCGTGGCGGATGGCGAGTAGTGGAACGATGCTCTAAGAGGACTACGCCAGAGTATTAAAGAGCCAAAAGGTGATTGACATCAAGTAAAGACGGTGGAGGAAAGGATAGTTCAACGCAATCAATATCAAGAGTTCGTACGAAAGGTTATACAAGACCTTGACACCATGCTTTGGAAGCAGTCTGTGGCAAAAAGATTTATAAGGTATTGGTCAAACTTGTTAAGGCCCTACATATACCTTGTGGCGAGTGCTAAGGTACAGTAAAATTTGGTGGAGAACTTTGTCAACAAATGGGAAAAAAAGGAACTACCGACGCAGGAGGGCGTGAGACCAATGGATCAGGAAGGGAAAGTAGGCAAGGCGACATGACAAGGTCTTGCAACTAAAACTATAAAAAACAAACGAGTGATGGTGCACTACGTCCAGTCCAACAAAAGTCCAACAGGTTTCTCTGTTTGCATTAATGATTCATGGCAAGCGCATGGAAGGTGTTCGACGATTTCATGTCAAGGGAGAAGCAGATGGACCTTAAGAAAACACTTGCGGGACACGTTGTCGTCACGAACTAAAGCGCATTTGTGAAAAAATTGATGGACATGTAGGACCTGGACGTGGAGGTAAGAAAAGAAAGATATATGGTGCTCATGTTTAACTATGTTTTGTTCAAGATAAAACAGAGGTCGGAGGAGAAGTGAAATGACAAGTTCTTCATTGGCTACAATATTATAATAAGGCGGTTTGCACCACGAGGTTTGACGAGAGAGAATTGAGAAGAAAATAAGTTGACGATTACAGCAGAGAAAACAATTAATGTCCTAAAACGATTGGGCGGAGTGGATAAGGCAATACTAGGAAAAAGGAACGATGGAGGGCACAAGATGAGTCAGGTGAAGACTGCAATATATATGGACAGTCCGTACTTCCTCAAGTTTTTTTCTGCATAAAATTTTTCGCGTAGTAGATGAATGAGGGATGAGCTGCGACAAATCAGCTCAAATGTTCAACACATAATGTGAGACGAGCGAAAAAATCACACGACGTATTTCTTTGACAGTGTATGCATCACACCTACGAACGCACTGCACCCTGTTTCGGGGCGACAAAATATTTAACTCGTGTTGTGAAGAAGTTGAGTTATCACCTTACATTGACTTGCACTATTGGAGTTGGCTTCATTGAAGAATCTCGACGAATGGAATGAGCAAAGGTGTCACGAGTTGCGGCAAATGATGAATGTGTTGTGCGGGATGCATTGGGCGCTAATCATATTCAACGTATTGAAAGACGAGGAGACGGTCCCGAGGAACGTGTTCAACTGGAAGGGTGTGTGAGTTCTTGCAGGGTGTTGGTGCCGTTATAGCGAAGCGGCATCATCATGTACCCAAGTTGGGAACCTTCCGTTAAGAGGACACGACTCCATGACCATAGTGTTGAA